AAAAGTAGCAGAAAGATGTATTAAAGGTAGTAAATATACACATTCAGCTCGGTGAGCTGTGAAAGTTGTGAATTGGTTTTTAAAGCTTTGTTAAGACCAGAAAGCACAGATGTTAAAAACAGGTTCAGATGTAGCGACAGATGGTATTTGATTATGAAGCAGACTGTTCGTGTAATGCAAGGATGCTGCTTCAGCCCAACTGCAAGGAGCCTGTCAGCTCCGAGCTGAGGCGGGAAGCCCCAGAGGTTCGCGAAAAGAATGAAAAAGAACCCAGAAGAAGAGAGCCTGGCGCTTTTGACCGCGTCTGTCCGTGTCGTTTGGATTCAGCCATGAGCTCTGGATCCAAACCGATACAGCTGCATCTGAAGTTGCATGTAATGCCAGAAGGAATCATGAGGTCATTGTCTTCTTGATAAAGGGAAGGTCACACACGCCTGTTAGTGCTAGTTCTACATAACCAAAACAAAATACCCCGATCTGACAGAGGTCAGCCGGTGCGCCACTTACATGAGTTTTAGGATGTTTAAACTAGAGAAAAGCGTTTTATTCTTTCCCATTTTTCATGAACAAGTAACACACACTTACAACATAGCGATCAAAATTCGTTCTACCGCACGGACAGGCCTGCCAGAATATCGAACAAAATCTTTATCCCCCCTCCGCCTTAATAACAACCAATTAATAACAGCGATCTTTCCTTTCTCTTTTCTGATAGAGCATCACGGTAGCGACATTATTCTCGTGTTATCTCTTTAGGGAGGGGAGAGAAGAGGGGATGGTGGTAAAATTTTCAACAATGAATGGGCCAACACAAACACAGCTGTTTTATTGTTGTGCTGTTAAGATGTGCTTTTCAAAGGCGTGATGATGAAATCAAACAGAAGGGGAGCGGTGAGCGGTGAGCGGCTCTGCTCGTCATTATGGCGCGGAGGGTGGCGGTGGGGGGGAGACTGACCCCACCTCCTGTTCAGTGGAGCTGCTGGAGCGGTCCGGGCCCGCTAAAGTGCCTCTTTGTATCAGACTATAAATTACAGCAGCGGCCGCCCAGCTTCCCTCCACAACGCCGCACGAGCCACAATAGCGCGAGCGCTGCTCTTTTCTCCCCACGCACACCTTTTTCCGCCCTCTTTCTTTGCAATTAAGATCGAATGTTGATGTGCGTATTTGAAGCACTTTATTTATTTATTTATTATCTCCATTTCAGATTGTTCATATTAATCTGGCTGAAATGACACTATTCTGGTGTTTTGACAAAGACAACTTCATCAAGAAACGTCTACTGTGATATTTGATGAAGTGAACCACCAGTAGGTCTATTAAGCATGAATCAAAGACTGCTGAAATAACAGGCCTGATTGGGAATTAGATTTAAATAGGAAAAAAGACCTATAAACATTTCTTAGCATAATGTTGATTATCAAAAAAAAAAGTCCTTTGTTTTTGCAGCAAGAAAGGCTTTTTTGTTTTGGAGAATTTAGAAGCAGAAATGTAAATTTATAAATGTAATACCTTACAGTGATACTTCTGTTAAAACTTTATTAAGTTTTATTTAAGCAGTAAAGTCGCTCTCCAGATTTTTGCAGTCCTTATAGAGTTTTAAGTGTTATGCTGGCATGGCAAAAATTTAATAAACAACACAGAAAAGAGTTTTCCCAAGAGTCTTGTGGCTGTACTTTTGAAACAGTATTGCATTATTGGCTGTACTATGCTATTTTAACATTATTTACTTTAATTGTAACCCAGATTTTTGCTTTTTTTAAAACTGAATTTTTGTGGTATTCAACAAAGTTCTGTTAAATGAATTTAACTTGAACCCAAAATATTACTTTAAGCCCAAAACAGGGGTATAAGAATATCTCCACATTTACATCCTATCAGTTCTTCAGGCATCACAGGCAACTCCAAATCTCCTTGGGTTTTCTCTGATTAGCATGCTGATCTAAATGATGACAAATGGCAAAAGGAAACACCTGATCTAGGACTTAGTTTTTATTTTGCACAAGCTTGCATATATACTGCACATACATTCAGTTCCGAGGAGATGGAAGGCACACGAGGCACTTTGACTACTGTATTGTGTAGGTGGTAAAAAGCAAAGGTAAAAGTCTGATTAAGTGATTAGAAATAAAAACGTCAAAACACACAATTTTGTCACCTTCCAAACAAGATAGAAGAAAAGTTTTGTTGTACATAATTTTTTTTTCTTTTTCTTTCCTTTTGTGTTTTTTTTTTTCAAGCGTCTCTTATGACTACAGTGTCTGAAATTACAATGGCTACCTGGACATAAGTGTCTCTTTATGTCTCTACAGAGTTAAGGAGCTTAGGAGGGCGTTTATATTGTCTCTGTCTACCAAATAATATTACAATACATCCCCAGAAATACCAAAAATTGTACACCATCACCAAATAAATTATGATAAATTAAACCAATAAATTATGAAACTTCTGCATGACAAATTGACAACAAAATCCACAATGCTATCCCGTTAACAATGTATGTGTATCCTTCAAAACGTATCAAAGAAAATTGTAACAGTTTCAGCTGGAATTACCATACTAGAATCAAAAATTTTCATACAAAAAAGCATAATGCTATTTACATCATATTGCTAAATCATAGAAAGGCAGTGTTTTCTCATTTTCGGTTTGTATTTACATACACGTCGAAGCCAGTGAAATCATGTTTAAAACCCTTCAGGGAGCACACACCTCATAAATACAGCATCAAATCTACAAAGAGTCAAGAGTCTTGTACAACACATTGCATTCAGTACAAATAATTGTTCCCCTTCCCAGAAATATAGTCATATACAAAGTTTCTTTCTTCCTTTTCTCTTTGTAACATCTTTCTTTGTAATAAAAAACAGTCCCAAACTGAGTTTGGCAATTGATTTGTACAGATCACTACATGACAGTTTTTTTTTTCCATTGCATGAAAACAAATAAAAAATCTTATGTCAAATGTAAATGCGCAATAGTCTATCACAAGTGAGATAAAACTTTGAATCAAGGTTATTTCAGAGAGTTTTTTTCTTCTTCTATAGAGTGTCCTTAATGGAGTGCGAAATGTACACGGCTACATTTCGGATTTTCGACACAAAGCAACAAATAACCCTGTGTAACCACGCAAACAGATCCATCTCATTTCAATATCAAATGAATGCAGACCGATCGAGAACACCTTTGAAGGGCAAACCTGAAGAGGTGGTGAGATGAAGGGGAGAAAATAGTCGACTGAGAGCCACTCGAAACATTTAAAACATCATAACACTTCTAAAAGTACAATTGCAAGAAAAGAAAAAGAGTTGAGATGTTGAACATGACCTCCCTCTGGTTTGTCTTAAAGATGCAGCACAGTGATAAATACAAATAAAAGTTAAAAAAGAGAAACAATAGATAAAGAAAATAAACAGAAGTCCTTATGGGAACTAAAACTAACGTACTACCATGCGTGTATATCACACACTCCCTGCAAACACGCACATGCACAGGTAAGCACGCACACACACTTATGCACTCGTATTGCGTCTGTGCTACGTTAAATGGCTTAAAGTACATCAGATTCGTGTGGAACTAAGCGTCATACTTGTTCTTCTTCAAATGGGCTGTAAAAATTCGTTTCCTGGACTTTGCATGTACGTAGTTCATTACCCAGAACCTATTACTGAGGGCATTTTGTTTCAAAACAAGGAAAATATACCTCTCCGTTTCAATTTGTGCTATTTTGTTCTAGATTTTTAGTAGTCAAATTGTATCATTTCTGTTCCATTTTATGTTAAATATAAATATAAAAAAGAGAAATAATTTGCTGGTGTAATTAACATTAGGCACAGGCAATTATCAGATTCATCAAGGGTGTAAATCACAAAATGCCTGTTTGTATGGCTGAATATGAACAGCTGAATTCGACTAAGCACCACTTTATGCGCAAATTGACACAACCTTCACTTTTAGTTGCAAAGCATCACCTTTAAATGAATGAATAGTGATAACAGAATTCCTTACGATTTGAAAGAATTGTTTATTTATCACAATGCATGTAAAGGAGAACGCATGTCAGCACAGTCTTGCGAGATACTTGAGATTAGAACGGGGCCAAACATCTCCTAACTTTGTTTTGGGTTTGTTTTTCCTTCTCTTTACAATGCATAGTGAACAGCTTGGCATTTTGTGCGTTGTCCGAGGGCTGTGGATGATGCCAGCCCTGGCGACAGAATGACAGCACCTCATGCTCTTTTGTGCCCATTAATCTAGAAGTCAGCAGGTTTTTTAAGGCATTGTGCTGACAATAATTGCCGGCCTGCGTTTCAATTCATCAGCTGGATTTGCCCAATGCAAACGGCACAGGCTTCCAGAGCAGATCACATGTCCAGCCCTTGCCCTCTACTGCCGACTCTTATTTATGAACTAGGAAGGGATGCACAAAGAGTCTGAAGGCTCTCTTTTCTTTTGTGGACACTGTTTTGATAAGAAACTGTGCTTTTTTCCTCTAGGGTAGGCTAATCGTTGTAATTGGTTACATTTGCGTGGATCTCTTAGCAGGCTTAGCTTCTAAAATTCAATTCAAAGAACTTCATATGATTCATAAAAATGTACAATTGAACTCAAACAAAGTCTCTCGCTAATATGAAGTTTCACTACTGATAAGCTGTACCCTGCCATAGCATAATCAGATGATTGTGAATATTAAGCAAATCTGTACATTTCTAACAAATAAACTATGTACAATCCAGTACGTAGAAGAAAAAAAAACAGTTTTACTTTCGCAAATGTTCAAATAATTATTTTCAGCCTGTGTAAACCAAACTTGAGATAATCTACCAAATTTACGGTCCAATTATAGAGGTGTTCCCAGCTAGCAGGTGGAGAAAATCAACAACAACAACAATTGTCTTGTCTTGATGCCGCACGACACGTGTTTGTGTTTGTGAATTACTGTGTATGTATGAGAGTGGTCTGTGTGTGTGTGTTTATGTGAGCAGTTGTGACAGCGGCCTCCCTCCCTAGAGCCAGTGCTATCAATGTGGACACAAAACACAAGAACATTGGACCCTAGCCAACATAGAAGAATGGCTAAACCAAAGAACAGTTAATACTGTTTCTTTTAAGAATAACATCAAATATATATATATTATATTATATATATGAATTTCCCACATAGAAAATGTATACCCCTCTTTATTATTATTATTTTTTTTGTCCAAAGAATAATTTATTTTCTGTAGCATTGCCATGAGAAACAAGAATACCACATGTCAATTTTTTGTCTTTCTTTTCCTTTCTTCCTTTTTTGCAGCAAGCATTAATAACATTAATGGTAATAATTATATTAATCATAAATAATAATTACATCTATACAAGCTACAAATGCAAGTCTTATTCAGCAATAGTAAAACCATCACACATTGCAAACATCCGGGGATAAAACAAAGCCCTCAACAAAAAAAATGACCAATAAAAGAGAGAAAATCAGGGTGTCAGTTCCATTTGTTAACCATTGTGTGGTAAACATAGTAATGCCCGTTTTAAAGGCAAGGAAAAAGGGGGTAAGGATTGAATACAGTCAAAACAATCAAGAATTTTATAGACTTTCCTAAAAAGAAGCCAAAAAAAAAATAATTTACAGCTAAGTCATTCAAAAGTAGCCGGGACTTAAAAATAGGAATGCTACCTCTTACTTTGTAAAGATTCTGGAAAAGAAGGGATGATACTTGGAAAGCAATTCAAATCACTACTCATGCAGAAGCTCCTGCAGACAATTGGGAGATTTGAAAATCTCTGGGACCTCACTGTCCAGCTTGCAGATGACCTTGTATATGGCCTTCTTCCAGGAAGGATCAACATCTTTGCCTGCCACAATGGCATTGAAAAACTCCCGTAACGTGATCTGTGCCACTTCCAGGAATCGCTCCGGAATCTGCTGATACACAAGGAGAGAATGACATTAATAAACATTATTAGGTTTCAATCCCAAGTCTCTGATTAAGAAAAGAAAAGAAAGAAAAAAAAGAAAATGAGATGAGTAAAAAGTAACAAGAAAATAAGATTCTGTACTGAGAGGACACGAGAACGGCCCCAAACATCGTCACTACACTAATTCCTCTTTGTTTCAGTTGCTGAAACATATTCTGGTGGTGCTGACTTAAATACCCATGTGTTTAGACTTTCAAATCTTTTATATCAATTGTCTTTCCTTTTTTTTTTGTCTAACTGCACCATCAGGGGACGTGAAAGTATTTAATAGCTTTTGAATGGTTACAGTGAAAAAAGCAACAAGATGTTTGTTTTTTCCATCGAACACCTTACAGTCAATGTTTTGAACGTGGCAGAATTTGTGAGGTTGTAACCAAGAGGAACTTATTGGGTTAAACATTACCTGAGCTGTTCCTCTTTTAGAGTCTACTTCCTAGAGGGAACGAAACATAATTTGTTGACTTCCCTTTATTTGACACAAGATTGTTAGCAATGTCTCATAAAATGTCTTTTTGTCTCAATATGCTTCCACTTCTAGAAGGGGAAGGAGATGATTCTGCCACTGACAGCGGTCCATAAAATACTAAATTCTTCTTTGCTTCTTATCAAGTTCCAGTGAAACTAGATTCTGTAGCAAACTTATTGTTTGGTCAAACCAAAGTTGTAGCCTCTATCACAGGTAGAGGAATTCAAAGAAAATGAATCTGTAAACTCTGTGCTCTTGGACAAGGTCTGGACCTCTAACTGCAGTGTTTTCCCGCAATCAGGTAGCGTGTAGGGCACTACTGAGGAGTTTGTTCTCTACAACCAGAACACATCCTTTCTGGCGTGAGGTTGTTGTTCATGAGAGAGGGCCAAGACCGGGGGCGTACTGTATACTGGCTCTGTGATCTCTTTAGCACCAGTGACAGTACCTCTCTGCTAACACTATAGAGATGATTAGCCAGGCAAAGAACTAAGTCACCTCCCCTACAGCTAGACAAGACACTTCCCAGACATGGTGCTTACTGCCACACACACTCACAAACACCCACACGCTCGAACACAGATGGGGAAGCATGCACGCAAGCACACAGAAACAGACACAAAGGTTGCAAAAACATAGTGCTGTCATATTAAAAGTGTTACTACAGGCCACAGAAAAAGCGCTAGCAATTGAGGGATGCATTAGGAATGCTTAAATGGATAGCTCACCCAAAAATTATGACATTTATTCACCTTCATGTCGTTCCAAACCTGTATGACTTTAACTTCTTTGGAACTCAAAAGATGTTTATTTTTTTTTACCATACAATGGAAGTCAGTGCGGTCTAGTGTTGTTATGGACCCCATTGACTTTCATTTTATGGACAGTTCAAAATATCTTATTTTGTGTTCCACTCTTTATTTTTGGTTGAAGTATCTATTTAAGATGCTTTTGAGGGTGTGGAAAGATCCAGAGCAGTTTTTCCTCCAACCATCCTGAATCAATGTTTTCGCAACAAAGCTCATGACACCATCTAATATTCATCCTCCATTGCAAGGTTAAAGTTGTAGTCCTATAGTTGGTTTTATCAATGCAGCCCTCCCCCGTGGAATGGGATCAGTGCTTAGTTTGGCATCAGTACTATCAATCAGACTCTGACTGCTCCTCAAAGGCCAGGTGAGCAGTTGTCTGGACAAAGAATCTCATCTATGCGATCCACACCATCCCCAGCTCCCTTTTTTCCATTAAGTGTGTTAAATATACTGTCATCAAAGGCATACCCTTGTCTGAAAGGCCTTGACCAGTGTGGAAGATGTTTCACTCTGCCGCCACAATCATAAGTGCTTGACTTTTGTTTGTGATGCGGTATTAAATTATAGCATGGCTATAAATACTAAACTTATAATGGCAGTTAAACTTGATGGTATGATTCACCGGAGTGTAGTTGATGGCTGGATTGGGTTTATATGCTGTAACGTGCCCTAGCCTGCATGCCTCCCTTTTATGATGTGTTCTGGTGTTAGGGAGTAAATAGCTAAAAGTAGCGACGTTGCTAACTGAATTGTGTAACATAATATCGTAGCTTTTCCAGTAACAAGCTAGTGTTTTCAACGAGTAGCCCTCTCTTAAGTAGCATTGAGAAGTCTGATTCAGTTGGTTCATTTGGATGATTCACTTTAATGAACTCGTTAAAATGATTCGTTAATTCATTTCATTCATTACTTTTCTTCATTGAACTGTTTCTCTCAAATAGCTTTGGGAAGTCTGAATAATTTTAGTGAATTGGTTAATTCTGTCAAATGATTTTAATGAACTAGTTAAAATTATTAAAGGGATAGTTCACGCTAAAATGAAAATACTGTCATTAATTACTCACCCTCATGTCGTTCCAAACCCGTAAGACGTTCGTTTATCCTCAGAACACAAATTAAGGTATTTTTGATGAAATCTGTGAGGTTTCTCACTCTCCATAGACAGCAACGCAACTGACACGTTCAAGGCCCAGAAAGGTAGCATCAATAAAATAGTCCATGTGACATCAGTGGTTCAGCCGTAATTTTTTTGAAGCTACAAGGACAATTTTTGTGTGCATGAAAACAAAAGTAATGACTTTATTCAACAATTTCTTCTCTTCCGTGTCGGACTTCGACGCGCATTCACGATAGTACCACAACGCATGCATGTGCATTCCTCTCTTTGCAAACAAGCCAAGCAAGAAACAAGATTTCATCAAAAATATCTTAATTTGTTTTCCGAATATGAACGAAGGTCTTACAGGTTTGGAACAACATGTGGGTCAGTAATTAATGACAGATTTGTCATTTTTGGGTGAACTATCCCTTTATTTGATTCATTTGAATCATCACTCAATTTTGTTCTTAGAACTGTCTCTTTCAAATAGCATTGTGATGGTTCAATTTGATGATTCATTTTAATGAACTGGTTCAAAAATGTTTTATGGATTCATGTGTGATTGGCACTACATTTTTGATTGAGTTCAGATAATGTAGGGTGTTGTTTTTATTTGTTTAGTGTAAATTTATGTGTATTAAAGTTTGATTGTATTCAATAATAAATCATATATCATTTATTATATATATAATAAATAAATTACATTATTTAGATATATCAACCTCTTACATAGCTCGCTACTTTTCACCTTGTAGTGTAACTTGCTATGTTTTCTCACAGGCAGCTTGACTGCTTTAAATGACAAGTAGCTTACAACTGCTGTGCCTGAACTCTGTCCGTCTCAAACGGGTGACATTTTTGTACAGTGCTGTACAGTAATTTCTCCCTTCCTCCTCTCTTTCTCCTGGGGCAAGATCATAGGAAGGGAGGGGGAAGAGAAGAGGAGATAAAAAAAAAAATCCTGCCCAAGTGCTTTTGGCCAGAGCTCTGTCTCCTTCTACTTCTCCCTCCCCGAGGGGCACAGCCTTCAGGGGTCATTTGTTTGATTATGCTGACTGTCCCCAGCCTCGGCAGTACACAATAAAGGCCTGACATAGCAGCCTGCTTGCCTTCTGTGTCCTGCAGATACTCATCACGAGTGTCAGGACATACCAAGGTTAGTGGTCACTGGGACGGCGCTCATAGGCGAAGGGCTTGCCAAACGCACTTGGCTGATGAATGAATGTCACATGGAATGGAGGGGGTGAGAAAGAAAAAGAGAAGAGAAGTGGGGGGGGGGAGTTACAAAGGTTATAGATATCCAACCTCCCCAACACCCCAACTCACAACATACCCTCTCCCCTATTTTTTTCACGCTTTTATAAGTCTTCCACCCCCTCAGACAATGGCCAGCAGCTTTCTGGAAAAACAACAGAATAATTGCACACAGGAAGAAAGAAAAAAGTGATAAAGGTGCCTTTCTCAAATTTGTTTGGTCTCAGAAGGGAGTCTATCTCTTTTGGATGCTACCATAGTCCCTTAAAGGCAAGTCAGTCTGTCTGGTTGGCGGCCATCTTGGTAATGCCTTCGGCTAGCTATATGACTGAATTTTTCAAATCTATTTGTCAAGACTGTGTTTCAATAAAATATTTAGATTCAACAATAAAAGAGCTTAATTCTATTTCTATGCTACATATTATTTGATGTACATGCAATTCCTAGAAAAGTAATTACCTAAGAATAGTGTGGCATAATGGCATAGATTTTCCAGAAACAAGCTAAAGTTTTCAACAAGTTGTGGTGTAGCTTGACAAAATGTCTCTCTTGTATAGCATGATGAAGTCTGAATCATTTCAGTGATTTGGTTCAATTGGATGATTCAGTTTTAGTGAACCGGTTAAATTCTTTAATTCGATTAATTCTTCTGCGTAAGTCATTACGCAGTTCATGGAACTGTTTCTTGGCAGTATGATTCATTTTACCAAGTTGGTTCATTTGGATGATTCACTTTAGTGAACTTGTTCAAAAAGTGATTAACTGATTAGTTTATTCATCTCTCAGTTTCTTTAAGCTACTTTTTTATTTAATGCACATGCAAGTCCTAAACTTGATTGGCTCTTTTAATTGAAAGGCAGGGATTCCATTGATCCCCTTTAAAATATCTGATACACCATTGTATGAAGCAGGTGTGTGCTAATGTGAAGATTTTATAGCTAATAGATTTGTCTTTATCCTATTTGTGAGAGATATGTTCACATCAAATCTGATTCCTTTGCGTAGCCACTGACGCTAACGAAGGGTAAAGCCCAGGAGTGCTGCATTGCTAAGAATATTCCTGTGAGGAATTTCTCCAACTCATTTTTTTTTACCATAAAAGGGCAGTAAAATGCTGACTAGGGAAGAAGACAATGTCAAGGAGAAAAGGGTATTGGTATTTTGGATCCTCTTGACTGCTTGCCTTGGAAAGAGAGAGAGAGACAGAGGAAAAGAGAGCGAGAGAGGGAGAGGGAGAGTTATTCTTGTCACAAACCCTTTTGTCTACATCTGCTGACTGCTTGCCCATAGCCAGCAGCATGCTTTAACTGTTTTGT